CACATTTAGTTGAAGTTATTGTCATTACCAAAACAGTCAGCCGTCTGTGTTAATCTCGGTATCAGTATTAGTACTGAACCAATAAACGAGATCATCAACTTGGTTTCTTAGTACACTGAATCATCTTTTCCTGGAGGAGCAGTCAGGATTAAACTAAAGCGACTAATCCAAACAAAACTTAACGGAAGATGATCTGACCGATTGATCAACTCCCATATTAAAGGAAACATAACTGATCTTATAACATCAATTAAAGGAAATCTCTTCAAAGAAGAAAGTCTTCACAACCACATTCGATAAGTCACAAAAAGGACTCTCCCAAATCAAATCAAATCAAATCCATTTAAACAAATTATTCACGACAAGAGAAAATGTGATCGAGATACGAGAAATAAGTCTTTTCAACAGAATGAATGATAACTAATGAATAAAATATAATTTTACATAATATCAATTGATTCCTTCACGTTATCCTTCAATAAATGACTTTACGGCCAATGCATTTTGTTTTTGTAATTTAGGTTGCATACATTTAGCAGAAGAAATCAAGTAAGAAATAAATTAAGATTGTATGACAGATAAGAAAGCGGAACGAATATAAGCAATTTGCAGTAGTTTATTAACTTTCATTGCTATTGCTCCATTAAATGAATCGATAAAACTATTGGAATTGAATTACGATTTCAATCTATGCCCCATTTGTTTTATTGAATTCTATGCAAGTATAAAAGTAGGAGCATTATTATGAAAATGCATATCTTCTGTTTCATTTTTTTCTTCTTTAATTAATTATTGCAATTTTATGGAATTCAATTTTATACCATTCATTTATAAAGTTGGAAATTTTATTGCAATTTTTTGCATGAAGTAAACTTGCTGTTATTTCAGTTCATTTAGATTCCTAAATAAGCAAATTAATATGAATCTTTCTGTTTTTCATTTTTATTTCATTTTATATAAAAGTGAAAAATAGTACACTTTCATCCTAATAATTACTAAAAAAGGAAAAAATAGCATCGTTAAATGAAAATGTCGGAAGAAGAAATTCGTACTTTGAATCTTTTCTTTCCATCATTTGGTCTTTCTTCTCAAACGACCATTAACAAATTTAAGAGAGATTTTAATAGCATATGTGCACAAAAGAGACGACGTCATTTGTTTATAAAAGTTATTTGTATAAATTATTTTGGAAATATGTGTGCATGTGTATGTGTATGAGAACAATCTCGAAAATGTCATTATCAAAATCGCTGACTCTTTCTGGCAAGAATGTCCAATATACATAACATCACAACATTTACACTCACTCAATACCACACGAAACTTTCCATCCATCCATCCATCCATCCATTACTGCGTCGGTTTATAAAAGTCCGACCAATTCAATTGCTTAATTTCAGTGCAAAAAAGTATATATTTTTCTTGTCACAAAAGCCAATCAAGAAAAATCCTTTAAACCCCTAAGAATAGCTTATTAGAAGGAGCCACTTAAAATAGTTAAGTGAAAGGGTGCGGAAATAGGAAACAGAATATTAACTTTATTCAAGGACAATTCAAGGGTGACATTTGCTAAAATTAATTCTATTTCAATGCCCACCTATATCTATCAGAAAGCAGGCTTATATGTTCAGTATAAATGAGAGAAATTCACTTATAAAATCCTCTCAATGTTCTTTCTTCTTTCCTTCTCTTCTTTTTTAGCTCTATTTCATTTGAACATAGAGATAAAATTAGCCATCCATTCAAAATTCATCTCTTTTCTTTTTTGTTGTCTTTTAAATTTGGAATGAATTTATCATTATTTTGTCATTTTTTTAAAAAGTTTTTTTAAATTTTGTTCCATAATTCTTTGAAAAAAAAATTTTCGTAAAATGATATTCGCGCAAATATTATAGTGTGCTTATTGGAATCATCGAGGATAAATTAAGTCAAAATAATTGCTCATGTGAAAAAAAAATTTGATTTTACATAATTTTATCCATTTATATTTGATTATTTGAATGGTATTGTCGAATTTTTGAATCAAAAAGCCTCAATTCTTACTTTCACTTCTACGCAACCTAATATCTGATTGATTCATTATAAATTTTCATGTTTAAAAATCTTTCATAATAAGCAGTTTTAACCTTTCATAATAATTCGTAATAAGCAGGCTTTTGGAAATATTTAAGAAATACCATTTAAAATATAGGTTCTTGAGAAATACTTGGAATATTCTGCTTCAGTTTAAATTGATGAATCTTCATGAAAGCCTATGATGAAACAAATTAGTAGAAAAGACTGAACTGAAATTATAAAATCTAACGAAAAATTGGAGTTTAAAGTTTTTAATAAGCTTATAACTTATTTCTTGACTAGAATATTTGATCAAAAAAAATTGTTTGTTTGAATTAAAGTTCAAAAAAGTTGATATAAATTTAATGAGTAATCATTAGATGCAGGAAAAGTAAGTTTCTGAAGATTTGATTTCTTGCTTTGACGAAGCCACTTCGCATTAAATCCCTTTTTTAATTGCCATTGTTCCGCATGCGAACTAATAATGATCTTTTGGGAAATTCCATCATTGTACTACTTGTCTATGAATAAGCATAGTTAGATTTGATTATTGCTGTCAACAATACATTTGTGCTAATAATGTCGTCAATCAATCATTCGTACAATATAACTCGCAGATCATTATCAGTTCACTGTGATGATAAATACTGAAAAAAAAAGTGATGAGAAATATGAAAAAAAATGAAAATATTTTCATCCATTTCATTACATTAGAAATATATTATTTAATAAAGCTATTTGAGGCAAATTTTTAAAAAAAAAAGAAAATACTTTTTAAAATAAGAAAAATTTTGTCTTAAAATTGATAGTTTTGTAATTTTAGTGATTGTTGAGATGCGCAAAGGGAAAGTAAAAAACAAATAAACTTTCTCCTTTGTTTTCAGAATTTGAAGAGAGACGAAATACAATTCGTTGAAAGCATCTTCGCTTTTTTTCTTTTCCTTCCAGAAAAGTAGAAAAACAAACAGCATACTGTCAAGTGCTTTGCATTCCTTCTTTCTTTAACCATTTCAGGATTTCAATTTATCATCCCAAATGCAAAAAATTTCTCTTTCATATCTTGCATGAACTTTTACACCATAAATATGTGATGATCAGTCATTATGCTAAAAGTTTTTCCTATATATTTCTTGATTAAGCAAATATTAATGTTAAATGTTCTTATTCAAACTACTAAAAGAATTTTTTTGTTGCAGCAAATTCTGAATTGAATTATTTTTCTGAATATATATTGTCAAATTTTAAGATAGATAAAGAGACGATTTCAGCAACGAATCAAATTTTATGGAAATAGTTCTATCATTAAAATAATTTTTTGCTTTCTAAAATTTTTACATAAAAGTTTCTTAATGAATAATAAGAACACTTCGAATTTTTTTCATAACAAAAAATAGCACAGTCAAGTATCTCACGAAAGATTTGAAGTGGAAATGCTATTAGAAAAAAGAAAAAATTATTTTTAAAAATTTCAAAAATATCTTCAATTCTTTTTCTCTTCCTCGTTTTTTTGTTGAGAAATGCACTTATGAATGTCATAATATTATTGGAACTTTTTAGCAAGTATTATAAGAAGATAAGTTGGCATATCGAGTAGAAAACGAACTTCTTTTGATTGCTTTCTTACTAACTTACTATTAAAACTAATAAATCATTTGTTTACTTTTCTTTTTTAGTTATTTCTGTTTCTAAATTTATGTTTTTTTTAGAATGAGGTCAACTTGATTGTATTTTTAGAATGAGGTCAACTTTCACATGTCTGTTTATTGAAAAACAAAAAATTTTTCATTAAAATGCAACAAATCTCGGATTTTAAAGAAAGTCCATGTTTTTTTATAACTCTATGCCAATTATAATTTCAACTGAGTAATTTAAATATAATAGTAAAAATTAGAACAGATTTGAGTGATAATATGGTGAGAAAATAGTTGAGAATTATTTTGATAAATAAAAAAGTGGAAAAAGTTTTCTGATAATCATCAATATTTTCAATCTGTCAAAATTAAGATTGATCACTTTTGCATTTTCTCTTTGCTCGGATTCATTGATTTCAGGTTTAACAGCTTTAAAATACTTTTTTCTTTTTGTTGGTAAACTATAATTAATTCTATTTTTCTCACTTCACTTAACTGGTTATTATATATAACCAATAATTACTAGCTTGTCATTACTACTAATTTGTTAGTATTAATATTATACGAAGGATAGAAAATTTTAAAAAAGACTGGGCTGGAACTATAAAATTTAACGAAAACCAATTTATAATATATGGACTTAATTCACTCAACCATAGATAGTTTAATTGAGAGTTAGGAAAATGTGATTAATTTTAATAACTGATAGATATGCAATTGGAATCCCATTGTGGAAATTGTCAGATAAGAATTTTGAGTGTTTGGTTTGCAATTTACATTAATTTTGTTAAAAATATCGGCATTATTATTCTTTTTTTATTATTTGTTCAAATATCTATCAGTGTCCAAAATATTTATAAATACTTCCATTTAATATTAACAATTTACAAATTTTAGACCTTCAAGTCAGCAACAGTGTTAATCTTCCTGGTGTTCTGTTTGATTTCGCATAATCATCAATTAGCAAGGAGCGGCGCTTTTATGATGAAAAGCTCATCGAGCATAACGTTCCCTTTAAAATGCTAATCTTTTGGAAGTCATTAACAGCGCAACGTAAAATTATCTCACCAGTACTATTTATGTTAATTATCACATTAGCAGTGATTGATATTTCATGGGCTCGGAAACAGAAACGAAAACCCTGGTAAACATTTTCGAATGTACGTGAGACGTGAGATTTCTGGAAATGAAGACAAGAATTAATTCAAAAATAGTCTACTGATTAGCTGAATACTTGAATTTGGCTAATAAATTAAGCTAATTGAAATCCATTCAACAAAAAGATTCGTTTATTTCATTATTATTATTCAGCAAACGAATGGCTTTCAATAGACATACAACAAATTATCATTCATGGAAAGAACAAATGACCGTTTGTGAATTGCTTGATAATTATGATCCTGCCGTACGACCCTCCGGAAGAATGCCAACTAATGATCAAAGTTTTTTATTTTTTGAATTATGATAGTTTATTATCACGAAAACTTTTTACAATTGTTATTGTTGAAAATTTTGAAATTGTTAGGGAGAAATTAAAATGAATTCCAGAAGGACCAGTAATTGTATGGACAAGCCTGGAAATTCGTTCTATTGGTGCAATTAGCGAACGAAATATGGTAATCTTTCAATTTGAATAGCTTTATTGAAATGCTGAAACTAATATTATAACATGAACATGCATCGATAAATATTATATTTCGATCTCATTTCAATGATATATATATAAACTTGAAAAGTTGTAAATATTTTGAAATATATCGTAGATATATTTCAAAATATTTACAACTTTTCAAGTTTTTTATTTTTAACAAATAATATACAAATTACTTTGTCAAAAATATTTTCATTTTTAAATTAACCTAAATCATTTTTTTCTTTAGTCATATGGATTAAATACAAAAAAAAAACACCTTTTTTAACGTAGGAGTTTGTTGCACAATTTCGCTTTCAACAAGAATGGTTTGATGATCGACTTCGGTACACAGATCATAGTGATTTCCGTAACGTTGATTTTATTCATGTTGCTCGTGATCAGGTACTCTGGATTCCTGATACTTTTTTCCAGAATGAGCGAAACGGATGGTATCATATGTTGGATCAGGTCAATTGATTATAATCTACTGATAAATAATAAACTACTTATTTCTATTTTATGTCAATCTTCATCTTTTTTTAATAAATTTCTTTTTAGTTTGAGGCAAATTACCGCATGTTCATTCTTTATTTCATCCAATAATACCACCTTTCTATTAATTTAAAAACTTCAGAAATATTATTATTTTCAGGAAAACAAGTTTATCAAATTACGCTCTGATGGAAAAGTTATTTACAATCGCAGGTTATCAAATTATTATTTCCAAACATAATTAATTTTTTTCAAATAACGGAAATCATTTGAAAATGACAAAGTGAATGAATTTCAGATTAACGTTAATATTGGCATGTCAAATGAATCTGATTCGGTATCCCATGGATGTTCAAGAGTGCTTGATCGATTTTGCTAGTTGTTAGTACTCTAATTAATAAACAAAAAGAAAAACTAAGAGTAGGGTTTGCTCGTCAATATTTCTCTTTTTCTTTCTTGTCTATTTCAGAAGGATTATAGATAATTTATTTTATAGATGCATATACAACAAGTGACATTGTTTACAAATGGGACCGTATAGCAATAACAATTGATAAAGATGCTAATAATGCTTTGCCAAATTTTCGAATCAGTGCCTTTGAAAATAAATCTTGTGATAGCACTACAAATACAGGTAATTATATTCTGAATACAAGTAATTCATATTACTTTCATCATTCCGCACCCATTTTCGATTAAACCGTTTAACAGATAACTCTTATATTGACAGTTATATTGACAGATAACTTTTATATGCTAATTTCTTATTTAATACAAATCATTTATGGCTAAATTAATTTCAAATTGAAATTTCTTTTAAACCAATTTTAATTTCAGGAACATATAGTTGTCTTCGTGTGGAGCTTAGGCTGAGTCGTGTTTTCTCATTCTTTCTCCTGCAACTTTACATTCCATCAACAATGTTGGTTGGAGTTTCCTGGGTATCATATTGGATTGATTGGAAGAGCACCGCGGCACGTGTGCCTCTTGCAATTGTCACCCTACTCACTATGATCACCCAATCACATGGTCACTCCCACTCTTTATTCAATTCAACTCTCGCCCTTTTCCGCTCTATTGGGCAGCTGCGCATAAATATTAACCCTACAAGTTTTGCAATTCAGAAGTTTCCCGCACTGAATTAAAATTTATTAAATTAAAGATTTCATGCAAAAATAATGATATTGAAATACTGAATTATTGCATTCTTATTTTTGACAATAGTTGTTAAGCTACAAAACTTTTTCAACTATCCCTCCATTAAAGGGCCAGATTTTTTTAATAGTAATAACAACATAAATCACTTTTAAAGTAGAAATTTAATTATATTATTCTGATGAATGTGAGTTGCTAGAAAAAATCGTAGTTAAAATAACATCCTTCTACATTTGTCACTTCCTAATTGCATTGATAACATAATTAAAGTACCATTTCAATAACTTTATTCTATTATTAAAAACAGATCAAAATTCATCATTGCAATACCATCCGTTTAGTTTAAACAAATATAATTGAAAATGTTCCATTTAAAAACAAATAGATCTCTCTATTGAAATATCAAAATATAAAAAAATTCACTAATTGTATGTGTTTACCAAAAAAATAATCACATTAACCCTTATTCATTTAAGCATCATATAAAGTTTTTTTTTTTCTCTCAACTTATTATTATAGGAAAAAATTAGCATCTGAACAAGTTGATGCTTATATGAAATAAAAGTAATAATTTCAATCTATTAAAAATTTAGAGTATTGAAAAAGGATAAATTATTATATTCTTTTTCTTCTTCAGCAATTAACTCGAATCTACCTCCTGTAAGTTACACCAAAGCTATCGACATATGGATTGGAGCTTGTGTCGGTTCGTCTGTAATTATAATCTTTTTAACTGTTTTATTTCAAACTAATAAAATTCATTCAGAGTCAATAATACTTGTTGAGTTTTAATGAAATTTCAGTATTCATATTTGCATCATTGATCGAATATGCGATTGTGAATTATGTGGGAATTTTCGATGAACATCGGTATGCGTTTTGAAATATTTTAAAATAAAATTTTCTAATCTGATTTGTTGCCTAAAACAATGAAAATCGCACTGATTGTTTTACCGCATACATTTTTTGAGGTAACACAAATAATTAAAGTCTTAAAATATTCCTTACTGTTACTATCTGTCCTTTCGTTCATAACAAAAATCATAATGAAAATTCATTTGAAGATAAAATGAGAAACCAAAATTTTTTTTAAAATTGAAATAAAACACAAAAAAAGAAAATTTCAAAAATTTTGAAATTATTTTAAAAAAATTTGCCGTTTACAACTGGATAAATACATTTCTTTCCACTTCTGCTTTTTCTCTCTCTAGCATTTTAACACTCTATTTCTCTATCTTTCCAATTTCATTAAACTGATTTTAATATCAAAATTTGAACAATTTGATGTTCAGACAATGACTCGGAGCGAAAAAATAACAAAATTAAAAAAAATGATCAATTTCCTGATTCCATTTTTTAAAATGTTACTAACCTTTTTTCAAAATCAAATAACCACTGTTTATCAGTATTTATAAACGGTGTGATCATTTATTAGAGAATGTAGTTTTTTCGGCATAATTTTTAAACATTATTGGATTTAATTCAATTTATCATCGTTTAGCGAAGTGCGAACGGTGACATCTAATCAAACACGTCTCACTAATGTTATCGAAAATGGCCTTTTGTTCAGTCCTATCGAATGTGCTGCTACTTCACCCATATCCTGTTTGAACAGTCCCGAAAAGAAGGTTATTATCTTTTTTCTACAACTCACAAATATTCTCTTTGAAAATTTTCAATTCGTTCACACATAGTAAATTGTTTTTACGATCATTCCTTCATTTCATATATACATTCTCCTCAAATTTATAGAGTTTATTACGACGCGGGAGGAAACGAACTTTTGAAGAAAGGAAACATGAATTAATTGATTTCAATCCATCACAAATTATGCATACCTCGGAACCTATTTGGACATTTCAGGTTGTTATGTATAACATTCCTGTATAATTTACGGGTCACACTTTCTGCAGTGAAACTGAAATCATAGAATAAAGATTTTATATTCGAAATTCTTGGAAAATAGACAAAAATCTGAAGTTCTTTGAAAGTAAGGAATAAATTAAAAATGACATATGAAGTTTGAAAAATCTCGAAGAATATAGAATCCTTCGATGTACTTTTTTTTGTTTTTTATAGGACGTATCAGATCTGATATACATTGGGCAAAGGAGACGTTTTGAATTAATGCGGTGGTGTAATCTGTTATCATCACGTGAGCGAGCAGAAAGAATTGATATAATGGCCAGGTGCTCAAGCTTCATTAACTCAATAGACTGATAGTTTATTAGACTTTTAAAAGTTAATTTAACTTTTGCTAAAATTAAAAGTTAATGAGAAGTCAATACTTCAAATGCATTTCTCTCACAAATTTTAGGCATAGATTTAATAGAAGATAATGTATTAATCATAATAGCATAATAGCAATTGCCATCTTGATATTGAAATTATATATTGGATATTTTTACATTCATGAAGTGACTACCCCGCACATTTCCAATTAATTATATTTCTGTCATGCCTTGTAATTAATTGTTTTTAATTTTCGTAGTCTTCAAATACACTCCATTTTTTTTGTAATATGACACCAATGTTCAATATATACAGTTTAATTTCAGGCTAATTTTTCCAGTAGCATTTATCCTGTTCAATTTTGCGTATTGGAGCATATATTTGAATGAAATGGAGGAATAAAAAAGTGCGCAAAAGTCAAGATTGCAAATTTAATTTTCTAGACATTATTGACGAAATTTAGATATTATTTACACGAATGGATGATACATTCCACCGCTAAAAGATTTAAAGCACATCATTTTAATTCAAGGAAATCACGTTTCATATAACAAAGATAGAATATAAGTCTTAAAGTGAGCGCTGATGAGCTTAATTCATCGTAGATTTTTTAAAGAAAACGAAATTTCATCAAGCATTAATCAACCAATAGTCACTGATAGTCTATGATGAGATAACGAATCACTATGAAGTACAAATGTAAAATAAATAACAGGTTATAACAAATTATAGAAACAAAATGCGGGTTTCATTTATGAAAGAATGTGACAAATGATAAACTTTCATAGCTTAATTGCTATAAATATTGTTGTAAAATGTAGAGTTCAAAGATGAAAGTTGTTATTTTGCACAATAAGAGGGGCATATTGCGCGATATCTGAACTGAATGATAATTGTAACATAAATCTAAGCTGCTATTTGCCAGGAAACTGATGTGTTAATCTGATTATAATAAACAGGAAAGCATGCAAATGTAAAAAAAGGTATAAATTATAATTATGAAATCGTTTCGATGAGAAACTTGATTTGAGCATTTATAAATTAATCTTCATGACATATTAAACTTGCTTTTGCTGATGATTTAAATCGTTTTTCGCTCAAAACATTTCCATAGTAAAGAGATATTTAAAAATGATTCATTTTCAATATGAATAATAATTCTTACGTTCTTACGATTTTATTAAGTCAATCACTTGAAAAGAATATTGATAATCAATTTTCAGAAGATATTTTGCTTCTTCGGTTAGGCTCACTGAAATATTTCACCGGAGAGTAATTGTTGCCAGAGATTTTCATTAAAATTTCCAATATAGATTCAGTGAATTACATGCACCTGAAGAGTTTTCTGAATTCTTTCAAAGTATTTAAAAGATAAGCAATTATGAAACCTGAGATGATTCATTCCTTGATGTGAGTAATAATTCTTGTTTTCCTGAAAAATTAATAGGAAAGTGTTTCTAAAACAAAAAAAAGAGAATGCTTTAAAAAACACACAAACCAAATTTTTTCAATCATTGCGAAAGTATATTAATTAAAAGGATAATTTGCAAGGAATTTTTTTACTTTACTATTTCCTAACTTCGCATAGCTGCTATTACATTGTGATTCATTAGTTTATTTAGCAACGATTTTGAAACTATTAAATAATTTGTTTGACTGAATTATTTTAATGTATGCTTTCACAATATCGGGCAAACAGCATCCAAGAAAAAATAATCAAATTCATAACCGGTACTAAAATTTTCCAACGAATGCTAGACGAAAAATTTTTTGTTTTTTTTTTTTGTTATTAGAATTTTGCAGGTGAAGAAAAATTTTCTTAAAATTAATAAATATTGAAGGAATGAAGAGAATTTAGCTTGTATGAGTGGAAATAAAAATTACGAAGAATTCAAACTTTTTAGATAATAATTAGAATAATGCCATTATGCCCCTAATATATCTTTTTGTTTCACTTCAACATTTAGATCTCTGAACAAAAAAGTGCAATGCAAGGAAATGAACAGAATTTGATAATTCATCAAATCATTTTCAACTTTTTTTTCAAAAGTTTCTTTCTCGAAAAGGAAGACAAAAAAGCTTTCGTTCTGAAAAATAGGACTTTCCAGAAATGAATTGACACTCATTTATTTCTTTATACCTCACTAAAAGAATATTTGTTTGATGAATGGAATTGATAAATGGCAATTAGAGAATCGATTACGCGTGAGCAAAACTGCTTTTAACACAGTAACACTTGATAATAATCATTATTTTATTAATAGCAGAAAGATGGAAATTGTTATCTCAAGTAATTTTCAAAGTAATAATTTATAATAGAAAAATTATGAAAAAATGTACAAATGTGAAGAAAAGAAAAATCAATTCATTCCTGTTTCTTCCTTAATTGTCTGTCATACTTTACTCATTTTTTTGCTTAGAAAAGCCTAATGAGTACCTTTTATTTGAAAATTTGAACACTGTCACTTTCATGACATGATTTGATATGATATGATATAAGTGTGCCTCTGATCGTTGTAACACAACTATTGACATGGTGCAAATGCGCATATTTTCACCACTTTGTTTATTTATCAAATTTATACATATGAACTGAGCGTATGTTTTACATTGAAATAATTTTCCTTCTCTTTCGAATAATACAATAACAATAATAAATAATAAATAATAAATAATAATGATAATAAGAATGATAATAGTAATGATAAT